CCCTTATACTTTGACTGAGGAGTGAGTCTGCCATGTCCCTTCATGTCCCTTATGTCCTAACGTACTTATGATGCCTCTGTAGTCATATATTAGGTACTACATGCGTAACTCAGTCTTTTCCCTTATACTTTGACTGAGGATCATATATTAGGGAATTATCGCTCTTGCCTTCAGATCCAGAAGTTCATCAGGTTATGAGCCCTGAGCTCTCGTAACTCTGAATCTCGATCGACTTTGCGCGCGTCTTTGCTGGCTGCAACTTGCCGTCTAGCTTCTTTTCTCGATCGTCCCTCTCCCTTCCTAGCCTTGGCTGTGTGACAGCCTGAGGTCTAGTGTGGCTCGTACCCCCATTCCTATCGACTCTAGCCGATTGATCGGACATTTCGGCTGTCTGGTCAGTTGGTAGCCCCAACGGGTGTTCATTTGGGGTCGAGCGTCTCTCTGTCAGTCATCGCTTTCAACTCTGGATCGAACTCTCACCGACGACAACTCGTCCGCCACTTTGCCGGAGGAAAATATACGTCCTCCGACTACTCCTTTGGCCGACGAAGTCCCTGTCTTATTCATTGCCGATCTTGACCAACCAGCCTCTTTCGACTGTCGCGATTGTCCGCACGGTTGGGATTTAGTTAATCGGGTCGACTACTGTCAAAGTCCTGATAACCCATATTGCTGGTATCCTTGCGAATCCGCATTTTTTGGTCGTTGTTATTTTCGAGGCAACGGTGCACAACCGTTTACCTATCCTCGGAGAATTATACCTATCTTCGCTTGGCAACTTGACTCGGACATTGTTAACGGCATTTTTTTGTGAATTCCCTGATCCATTCGACCATCTTGTCGACTGTATCGACTTTATACTCCCTGAACCATACCCACCTGAACCTGATCCACTCGACTATCTTGTCGACTGCATCGACTTTATATTTCCTGACCCTTATCCTCTACCTCCGCCTTTCTGCGAAACTCCTGCATTTGAAGAATTTATCTGGTTCTTCTTACCGTTATGAGCGACTTCAAACTCGATCTAGTCCCTACGCTTGTCAAAGCTGATCAGTGGGCAAAATGGGCTCACTCAATGGAGGCCTGGCTGACCGCCGTCGACCTTTGGTCGATTATGGAAGATAGCCGTCCCGCCGCCACAGCTACAGCTGAGCGAGCACTTTGGGATACGAAGAATGCTCGTGCTTTCGGTGCCATCATGTTTCGAATCGATCCCACTCTAGGCCATCTGAAGATGAAGCCTGTCTCTGCCACCAATACTGCTCCTGTAAAGCGTACAGCAAAGGAGCTCTGGGACGAGTTGGAGAAGCTTTTTGGCAAAACCGACACGGTCTTGACTTGGACACGCTTTGAGTCTATCATGTATGAGCCTCGACTTGACGAATCCAAACCCCTACAAGAGCAGTTTAATAAACTTGCTTATCGTCTTCGAGAGGTCTCTAACGGTGGACTGAAGTTAGCCGCCAACATGGAGGCGTTACTCGTCATGTCCAAGCTGCCGGAGTCTTATCG